CCCCCCAATCCCACCCCACCGCAGCTGCCGCCCCCACCCGGGCTGCCGCCTGAGGCTCCCCCTATGATGGGCTCCGTGCTCCCGGCGGAAGCCCTGGTGCTGAAGGGCGGACTCAAGGCGCCCAGCCTCTCCCTGGCCGAGGTGATCACGTCGGACATCCTGCACAGCTTCCTCTACGGCCGTTGGAGGAACGTCCTGGGGGAGCAGCTGTTCGAGGAGAAGGCCGGCCTGGGCGCCCCCGGAGGCGGAGGAGGAGGAGGAGGAGGAAGCAGCGCGGGAGGGGGGCCCGGCAACCCCAAAACCGCCTTCACCGCCGAGGTCCTGGCACAGTCCTTCTCGGGAGGTGAGTCTCCCCCCCCAAAAAAACCTCCTGCTTGCGGGTGGCATCGCGGGAAGGCGGGTTGGGGGGGGGAGAGAGAGAGAGACACTTCTCTTGCTTTCGCGTGTCCGGGTGTGCGCGCACGTGTGAAGGGGCAGAGGCTCCAGGGATCAGCCTCTCTCGGGGCCCGGCCTCCCCGATCTGCCCTGGGGGAGGGGGGGGGGGGGTGGGGGGACACACACCATCCAGCCGGGCTTTCCAAGCTGGTCTTGGGGTCCCCTCTTAAACCTCCACGGGGAGGGCGGGAGTTACTGGCCAGACCTTCCTCTGGCGAGGATCGGGCCCCTTCTGCGGGTGCGCGGGCGAGAAAGAGAGCAAGCCGGCCGGGGGAAACGGAGGACCCCCCCCCCAAGGCGTTCCAGAGGCGCCTTTCTTCATCGCGTTACATCTGCGTTCCTTTTCTTCAGCCCATCCCGTTCCATTGAACGCTTTATTCGTTGAATCTTGGTAGCGGCGTCTTCCTGCGTTACCGGCGGTAACGGTGCCTGCCCTTCATCCCGGGCTCCCTCTTTCCCATCACCTGTCTCTCTTTCCATCATCTTCCAAGCGGTCCCTCACCCTCTCTCTCTCTCTCGTGGGCTGCCTGTCCCTCTTTATCCACCCGTCCGCCCTCTCCTCTGGTTACGCCCGCTTCCAGACGTGTCTCTTTGCCCGTGTTGCCCTCCTAAGATTTCCCCAGGCAGACAAGATTCCCTGTAGGACCACCAGAGGATATTTCTTTTTCACAGAGAAGGAAAACCCCCATTCCTCCTTTTAAGCCTGAAAAGCAGAGTTGAAGAAAGAGGGGGGGGTTGCTCAGAGATGGGAAAATTAGCTTTTTTTTCCCACCAAGACCAGAAACTTTATGGGTCTTTTCCTCCCTAAATCTTTGGGGTGGGAGCATCAGATTCTCGGATCGGACAAACCAGCCTCCCCGTCTTGGCTGAAGGTGAAACTCAAGGGGCGAGAGAAAAGGGCATCATCATTATCATCATCACGGGGAGAGACTCTCCATCCCTGTGACCCTAATGGCCAGGCCTCCCCCCCCCTTTTTCCATGGGGATCCTTGCTTTTGGTCCTCAGCATGACATTCTCAGCCTTCTTATGTCCCCTCTAAAGTTGACAGCCTTGGCCTCTTTTTCCAGCTTCTCACAAAGTTTTACATTTCTCTCTCTCTCTCTTTTCGGCCTTCATTGTGAATAATCCCCCCTTTTC